CGCATAAACACATTGCATTACACCAAATACACAACATAATGTTCTTTTTAGCAACGTCATATGACCCCTTTAACTACTATAGGCTACTGAATGAAATAGCATAGACTTCTTCGTGGTTAGTGTTTGAGAAGGCTATTCCATTTTATTCTGTAACCTACTTGTTCTACAGATCCTTGTACTGGTGTTAAAATCCCCATGAAATCAAAATTAAAGTTTTTGGGTGTTAAGGTTTACAACTAATAACTGTATTGGTCTACAACTAAAATACACAAGATGTATATAATGTTTATAAAATGCTTAATATGTCATTATAAAATGCATACATAAAGTCTGATGTATCGTGTGTAATAAAAGCAAATTACCTCTTAAAACCCATAAGGTGGCGCTACTCTTTTAAAAAATGTAAGCTCCGCCCCTCACTTCCGGTTCTGTGGCTGTGGTTCTGAAACTGCTGGTGCTGCGGGTCTGCAGCTGGATATATCTCGTCAAATGCGGCTTTACGGTGCTCAACGGCTCTGAACGGCTCTAGCCCAAGCTGTGATATAAACAAACACTATTGGCTATTTTAAAAAGGGGCGGGGCTGCTTGATATGTCCCGCCCTGTCTTCCTGTTTCAGTTAAAATGACGTCAACACATAGAGTAACGCTGCATGTTTCTAAGCATTTCAGGGGACCTTTAAATGCTACTATTTTTGGCAGCGTTGATAATGTTTCTGGCAGATTATCATTAATTTTTTTTTCTTTTTCATTTGTATTTGCCTTACCAAATTTGGTATCCTGTCAGCAATAACCTTGGGCTTTTTTGATTACTGTCAGTTTAAGTGTAGGCGATACAGTGTTGCCAGATATTGCTATAAAACAAATAATTGTTTTTTTAATAAATAAAAAAAAAAACGAAATTATTTCAAATCTTTGGAAATAAGACAAGATTAAGATATCACTGATAAAAGAAAAACTGTGAAAAAGACAAGTCCAAAAACGCTTAGAATAGTTGGATCTGGCAACACGGAGGCTGCGCTCGCTCACAACTCTCAAGACCCATTCACTCCGCCAGCGTCTCGCAGCGATCATTTTCATACTACGAGCGCTAAACATTCTTGCAAACTGTCTAAACTTGCAGACACTCCTATGAGGAGTTTTAAACAGCAAACTAGTCATTCAGAGAACAGATTTTATTTTTGAACATGAACAATTTAGAGGTCCGAACCTCGGTGACCTCATTGATGGCTATGGGCCTGAATGGAACGCAGGGACTGTTTACACCGATTACATTACTTTCCCACCGTGGCACTGCCCTCTCTGTCATTTGTATTTTTTATAGAAATAAAAATCATTTAGTTCAGATGGAAAACGTAGCAACACTAAACTGAAAGTGTCTGTTCTGCTTCATACAGCCAGGGTTGCCAGGTCTGCGTGACAAAATTAGCCAATGCCAGTAAAAAACTGCGCAAAGTAGCATAATAACCATATCCTAAATATCAAAACTCAAAATATGTACGTATGATTCATACCTAAAATATCTTTTACAGTCACTGTTAAGTATATTGATCATAAACACAGCTCAAAGGCTTCCTACCAGTGGTCCTCCTTCAAAAAACTAGACATCTAGCGGAGTTTTATCATAGGTAGAAAGTCAAATATTTAAATAGGCTACAAGCATTTCAGTCAAATGTAATTTATGCAGTATTTCAAACTTTTAACCCGCGGTGGAAAATCAACCCATGGCAACAGTTTAAAAGTAGCCCATTTCCATGGAAAAAGCGGAATTGGCAACCCTGCATCCAACACGAGCTGCCTGAGTCAGATTTGATAAAACCATGCTGAAGGATTTGCTGCTAAACAGATCCTGAGCTCTTTGACATGTCTGATCTCGTAAGTTGTGCTCCCTTTACACAGAGTGTGCGTGATCATGAAATCGAAAGTGAAAATGAACACTGACCACTCATTTAAAAGTGATTTCAATACCCCAAATATTGGCGTTGCACGAAAATATACAGTATTAGAATCTTTGCGGGAGTGGGCGGTAATGGTCAAAAATTCAGCAG